ATAGTGAGGTTCGCATAACATCCAGAGTCTCGAAGGAGCCGTCACGAGGCAGATACCAGCAAGCAGTCGACGACGAGGAGCGACGCCGCGAAGGACAGCGACGAGGAGCGACGCCGCAGAGGACGATGACGAGGAGCAGCAGCAGCTGAAGAGCCGCGAGGCTTGTACAAGGAGACGAATAAAGACAGTTACGATCCCAACAGAACTCTTGCGTTATTCATTGGTCAAAGGCAATCACCCAATATAAATTTGGTGGAACGAACCCATAACCTCTCTGAGCTAGCCGCCCGTTAACGTAGCGAGCGAGAATACATAGAAATCAGGTCGTTACATCTGGCGTCCATGAGTGATTGCCCTGACCAAGAGAACAAAAGATCAAAAATGGGAAAGTCCTGGATTATAATCTCAGGAAGGAGGACTTCGCCGAGGTGAGCAATGTTCTGGGAATAGAACTTGAGGGCTCGGTAGAGGCGATGAGGAAGACCCTGGCAGAGACGGTTGACCGCATAACAGAAGACCCGGTCGTGGCAGAGTTAGTGGCAGGTCTGGAGGTCAAATTCCGGAAGCTGCCGGTCCCAAAATTCAAGCTAACAGCCGCAGATGCCGAAGGCCTTATAGCAAGCCTGGATATTCAGAGCATGGCAAGCGACGGCAGGCATCGAGAAGGCAGCCGCGAGAGGAAAGAAAGCGTACGGCCACATCCGCAGGACTACGCAAAGGTGGCCAAGCAAGTCCGAGAGTGGAACTTTCGGTATGACGGCAACGACAAGCCACTGGAGTTCCTGGAGCAGGTGGAGTGGTCAGCCGTGACATATGGTCTGGATATAAACCAGATCCCACGAGCAATGCCGGAGCTGCTGCAGGGCAGAGCCCTAAAGTGGTTCATAGCCAACAACCGGCAGTGGGACAACTGGGGAGGCTTCATATTCAGCTTCCAAGGATATTTCCTTCCTCGAGGCTACATGGAGAAGCTAGCGGACCAGGTCAGGCAGCGGAGGCAGACATACGGGGAAAAATTTAAAGATTACATGGTGGACATGCAGACGATGATGCGGCCCCTGGGTATGTCTGCCAAAGAAGTCCTGAACAGGATAAAGGAGAACAGCACGCCGGCCCTCCGAATGTTTATCCGGCCGTACGAGTGTCGGCACCTGGACACCCTGATGGCGCTGGCAGACGAGTTCAAGGAGCTAGAGGAGCAACGGGAGAAGTTTGAAATGGAAAACCACTCCCAGAGGACACAGAACCGCCCAATGCCAAGGCCAAGGGCAGAGCAGGGTGCGGTGTGTAGGCGGTGCCAGGAGGACACGGAGGCATACGCCGCAGGAACACGGACCCCCTGCCGATCGCAGTGGATTTATACAGAATCCGGCCAACGCGTGTCGCAGATGCGGGGACGCGGACCATTGGACGAAGGAGTGCCGGAACCGGCGACTCACATTCTGCTGGCGATGCGGAAAGATAGGCGTCCGAACGGTGGAGTGCTGTTCGGGAAACGCGCAACGATCCCAGCCTCCGAGGGGCGGCCAGGGATCGTTAGGTGCTGCCTCTCAAAAATAATGGGCGACCTGAAGGCGGAAGAAATGCAACTGTCCGCCACAGTGCTCATAGGTGACGCGAACGTTAAGGCCACGGTGGACACCGGCGCGACAGCGAGTTTCATCAGCAAAGAGCTGGCGGACAGGCTGCAGGCGGCAGGAAAGGTTGGACCCACAAAGAGGCAAGTACGGATGGCGGACGGTAGATGCGGAGACGTAAAATCGCAGTTAGAAATTCACATCGGACTTGGCACAAGAAAAGTGTCAATGGAGCTGCTGATCCTCCCAGGATTGATTGACGAACTGGTGCTAGGATGGAACTTCCTCACCAAAATCGGAGCCGAGGTGAAATGCGCAGGTCACAGAGTGATGATACCGGCGAGGGACAGACACCGAGGCTGGCTAGAGGAAAAACTGTCGGTAGCAGTCGTGGAAGCCGCGAAGGAATTTTCGGAGATGTGGACCAGTTTTTAAAGACCGAGTTGGAGAGCCTGGAAAATCTGCAAGGCACGTCAAACGTGGCAGTACACAGGATCACCATGAAGGACGATCAGCCGGTCAAACAGCGGTACTATCCGAAGAATCCAAAAATGCAGGGCGAGATCAACGCCAAAGTAGACGAGCTACTTGAAAAGGGATGCATCGAACCGTCAAGGAGTCCGTACAGCTCACCAATAGTCATGGTGAGAAAGAAGACCGGGAAATGGAGGCTCTGTGTGGATTTCAGGCAGATCAACGCAAAATCCGTGAAGGATGCATATCCAATGCCGATGATCAACTACATCCTGGACCAACTCCGAGAAGCTAAATATATTAGCAGCCTCGACTTAAGGGACGGGTACTGGCAAATACCGTTGGAGGCAGCCAGCAGGCAGTATACCGCATTCACAGTGCCAGGGAAAGGCCTGTTTCAATGGAAAGTTATGCCTTTCGGTTTACACTCGGCATCAGCAACATTCCAGCGGGCGTTGGACCAGGTAATTGGACCTGAAATGATGCCGCACGCTTTCACGTATCAGGATGATATAATCGTCATCGGACGGATACTAGAGGAGCACATGCGGAACCTAAAGGAAGTATTCAGAAGACTGCGAGCGGCAAACCTGAAAGTAAACGCGGATAAGTGTAAATTCTTCAGGAAGGAACTTCAATACTTAGGGCATCGCATTACAGACCAGGGCATCGGGACGGATCCGGAAAAGGTGTCAGCGATAGCATTGCTAAAACCACCGGCAAATGTCAAAGAACTACGGAAGTACTTGGGAGTGGCGTCGTGGTACAGGCGTTTTGTGCCAGATTTTGCCACGCTAGTGCATCCGCTGAACGCCCTTCTCCGAAAGGGTGTCAAATGGGAATGGACCGACGACCACCAGCAGGCCTTTGAAGCTGTCAAGGCAAGATTGGTCGCCGACCCAATTTTGGCATGCCCGGATTTTACAAAGCCGTTTGTGCTGCAGACCGATGCCACCGATTATGGGCTGGACGCCATTCTCACTCAAAATTCCGACCAGGGTGAGCGGGTGATATCCTATTCCAGCCGGACCCTAAACGGGTCGGAAAAAAGTTACTCCGCCACTGATAAGGAATGTTTAGCAATCGTGTGGGCCATAAGGAAATTAAAGCCATACCTGGAGGGATACCACTTCAAAGTGATAACAGATCACATGGCCTTGAAGTGGTTGAATAGCATCGAGAGCCCAACCGGAAGAATCGCGCGGTGGGCACTGGAGCTCCAGTAATACGACTTCGAAATCACATACAGGAAAGGCCAGCTGAATATTGTGGCGGACGCACTGTCGCGGCAGCCCTTACCCGAAACCTGCCGAAGGTTGAAAACGAAGTCACCTGGTCAGTCAGCAGAACAAGCCGAATGTAGCTGGATAAGGGACATAAGGGGCAAGATAGCACAGAACCCGCAAAAATATCCGGACTATTTAGTGGAGGCCGACCGGCTGTACCGGCACATTCCTCACAGAGCAGGCAACGAGGATGTGGTCGCATGGAAGCTATGCGTACCAATCGGGTCAAGGCAACGAGTCATGGTTGAAAACCACGATATGCCGACGGCCGGACACATGGGCAGCCGGAAGACGATCGCGAGGGTGGCAGCGAGGTATTATTGGCCGGGCATGCACCGCGACATTAGGAAGCACGTGCGGAACTGTGAGAGCTGTGAGGTACAAGCCCAGTCAGCTCCAGGCAGCCGGAAAAATGCTCACACAGATCCCAGAGGAGCCCTGGGCCACAGTATGCGCCGATTTCGTTGGGCCGCTTCCTCGGTCGAAACACGGGAACTCGATACTACTAGTGCTCGTAGATCGGTTCTCGAAGTGGACGGAAATAGTGCCAATGCGTAGGGCTACCACGGAGACACTGGAAAAGGCAATCCGGGAAAGAATTGTCTCAAGGTACGGCGTGCCGAAGGTCTTAATCACCGATAACGGGGTGCAGTTCACAAGCAGGGCGTTCAAGCGGTTCCTGACAGAGTTGGGAGTGCGGCACCAGTTCACAGCCCCATACACACCACAAGAAAATCCCACGGAGAGGGCCAATAGAACTGTAAAAACAATGATCGCCCAGTTTGCCGGACAAGACCAGAGAACGTGGGATGAAAAATGGCCAGAATTGCAGCTGGCCGTGAACACTAGTGTATCCGAGTCCACAGGGTATTCGCCGGCATTCGTCACGCAGGGTAGAGAGCCCAGGTTACCGAGCGCGTTGTTTGATGAAGAAACCACCGGCACAGGAAGGGAAACCCAGACCCCGTCGGAGAATGCGAAAAAATAAACGAAATCTTCGAGCTGGTCAGACGGAACATGGAGAAGGCGGCGCAGGATCAGGTGCGCCACTACAATCTCCGGAGGCGCCCTTGGAAACCACAGATTGGAGACACGATATGGGCTAAGGAGCACCATCTATCCAAGGCGGCAGAAGGATTCGCGGCGAAACTGGCCCCCAGATACGAGGGACCGTTTAAAATAATTAATTTCGATTCTCCGGTTATTTGCAACCTGCGGCACGAACACACGGGCAAAGAAAGGAAAACACACACAAGCCAGTTAAAACCCCAAAGCAAAGAGGGGCAGTCTCAACAAATCCGGCGTATCGGAGGAGCACTGTACCCTAACCGAAGAAAGGGGGAGGACGATACACAGTATCGAAATTAACGGTCAAGCACACACACACAGGCACACACATCAGGAGCGCGAGAGCGGGACAGGGAGGGTTTAAAAAGCCGTAGCCACCGTTACCGGCTAAACACACACATGCACGGGTTGCGTAGGAGGCTTGTACACGGAATGCACCGTTACTTGTAAACGTTACACGGACACAGAGCGGAGAGCGAGTCCCGTTACCGGTACACGTCTCTGCGAATAACGGAACCGAGGATACGCGGAAGAACCGAGGTTTCGTCAGCGACGGCGCTGCATGGTGCAGGTCTTTCTAATAAAGATAACCATCATGAGCGCACGTAAAAGCAACACCCAATCGCGAGTGGAACGCGAGGTGAGGGAGGAGCGCGCCAGGGAACAGCCAGTGGCGAAGTGGAGGCGGGACTCCGATTCCGTTCTCCAGCTTCTGGCGTCCCCCCTGGTGTCGCGATCCCCGTCACCGGTCAGCGAGGCGGACGAGGAGGCCACCGGGGAGATCTCGGACGTGGAGCTGCCGTCCGAGGAGGAGGACCCAGGCGCAGACGCGACGGAGATCGCAGAGGTCGTCGCCATCTCTTCCGATGAGAGTGGGCCAGAGGACGCGAGTGAGGAGGAGGAGGACGGGACGGAGACCGTCAGTCCCGAGGTGTCCTCGGACGAGGACGACGTGGCGCGGCGAGCTGCGAGGGACCGGATGATCTTCCGCCGGTTGAGCAGGGCGACGGCAGGGCTCGGGAGGATCTGCCTAGGGCAGATACCACCGTCGGGCGAGCCCAAGGAGTGGGTTCGTATATTGGAGGCGCGGGCGGTCACTGTCCGCCAATGGGAGGCCCGGCGGGCGGCGAGGAGTGCAGCAGTCGCCGCGTGGCAGCAGAGGCTGAGGAACGCCGAGGCCGAGGAGGCCGCACTGTGGGAGCCGCCGCAGCCGCCACAGGAGCAGCCACAGCCGCCGCAGGGGCAGCCGCAGCCGCCGCAGGAGCACCCACAGCCGCCGCAGGAGCAGCCGCAGCCGCCGCAGGAGCAGCCACAGCCGCCGCAGGGGGTCTGCATCAGCAGACGGTCACGTGGTCGTGGCCCGCGCCCGAGGAGGCAGCAGAGGAGGCCAGGATGCGAGAGGCCATCGAAGCCATCGAGTGGCGGCGCCCACCACCGCTGAGCCCGCGCGATCCGAGGGCCAGGTCGACGAAACGCGTCGCGGAGACGGCCGATCGCGCGGGGCTGGAGGTAACGACCGAGGAGGAACGCGAGGCCCAGGAGGGGCTGGAGAAGGGGCCAAGGGAGTGGCCAACACCGCCGGAGACGTCGCGGGACACGGCGCCACCCCCCGAAGCTGGCGCGGCAGACTTCGTGCCCGGAGTCGCGAGCCCCACCGGCGAGGCCGACGCTGCGGAGACAGCAGTCGGAGGGCGCGGAACCGTGGGGGGAGGTTCCGGAGGCGGATTGGCCGGCGCGGGTGGCCGAAGATGCGCAGCGACAGCGAGGGAGGCAGAGGAAGGCCAGGTGGGCCAAGCTCGTGCTGGAGGAGGGACAGCGCTACCGAGTCAAGTAAGCAGGGGGCCGGGTGCGGGTGTTTAAGGCCCAATAATCAGATAACAGCATTTGAGCCCAGCAGTTATTTTTTGGGCAGGGGATCACAACAAGGCACAACACAGGAAAAAAAAGAGTGGTCCGCCGCAGCAGCCGATCGCGGAACGGGGGGCGGCGAGGGGGGGAATCGCGGGCCAAGCACGCGGGCCGGCAGAAAACCCGAGGCTGCCGCAGGCGTAGGGCGAGGGGGGTCACTTGCCGCCGCAAGGGTCTCCCGGGGCACGCGGTCCAGGGTCAGCACCCCGAGACATGTCAGGGGCATCATGGTCATGGTGTCGCTGTAAAGAAAAAAGTCGTTAATTAAAGGAAAACTATCATCAGCAAGTTTACTTACCAGTTTTTTCAAAACAACGAGGCCGTGAGGAAATTAGGGACGGGGGCGCCAGGCGATAGGCGGTCGATCGATAGTTGCGATCGATGGGTACAAAAAATACTGGATTTCTCAAGAAACGGTCACACGGATTCAACTTAAGACAACGGAAACGATAACGGCAACAACGATGGCAATGCTGGACCCACTATCGATAAGTGCGATCGAGACAGGGTCAGTAGAGTGGCCAGACGACGGGAATCGGAATGGTGATTTCAAACACGGGAAAATGTCTGGGCGGGAAATTCAAATTCTACGCGGGGAATTACGAAGGAACGAGATGCAGTTTTGGGAAAGTTCAAGTCTTTCGGGGAACTGTCTGGGGAACAGGCTAACGCAGCACAGTCATGAGAAAGTTAAAGGTCTTTCAGAGCGCTGTCTTGGGGGAGTCTTACGAGGGCAGCTCAGGGAAAGTTGAAGTCTTTTGGGGAACTATATAGGGTCACGAGGAGAACGAGTTTGGGCGGGGAATTTGAATGAACGAACAACAGGGGCGGGGAGATCACCACTTTCATAACATTTCCGAAGAAAGGGGGAAATGTGAGGAGTCTTAAAACTCCCCACAAATTCCAAGGCAGGAGAGCTGCATAGTAACAGCGAAGGAGGCGAGAATGCCGGAGGAATCAAGGGCAACAAGGTCAAACGGTAAACAACGGACCTTGGACCCGGGCAAGGCGGAGACACCGTGGACTAACGGTACCACGCTGGACATTGGACCCTCATACGGCAAGGGCAACCGGGTCGAACGGTAAATTGGCGGACTTCGGACCCGCACAAAGAGGACGCACCGTGAACTAATGGTGCGGCAGTGGACCTTGGACCCGATCACGCGAGCTGGAAAAGGGAAATAACGGGACCATCACAGGCTATAAAAGGCGGCGCAAGCGCAGCACACGGAGAGTAATAGTGCGAGAATCAAAGCGAGTGCGTGTACGCGAGACCAGTAGCAAGTTAATCAAGTGCCGAGTACCAGGATCAAGATCGCAAAGTCGAGACGCCGAACGACTGAGAATCTACAAGGCTGAGGCTTCAACGCTGAGATCCAACGGGTGCTAGGTCGTGGTTAAATCGAACTCAGGGAGTCCTTGCGTGGAGTCTGCGATAAAGGTGGCTGGGCGAAGAGGTCGAACCGAGTTCAACCGGCTAGGCGATACACCTTGCCGACACAATCCGGACCAACTTAGGGAGCCTGCGATAAAGGTGGCTAGGCGAAAAGGCAGAACGGCGTTCTACCTGCTAGGCGAAACACCTTGCCGGTCCCGATAGTGAGGTTCGCATAACATCCAGAGTCTCGAAGGAGCCGTCACGAGGCAGATACCAGCAAGCAGTCGACGACGAGGAGCGACGCCGCGAAGGACAGCGACGAGGAGCGACGCCGCAGAGGACGATGACGAGGAGCAGCAGCAGCTGAAGAGCCGCGAGGCTTGTACAAGGAGACGAATAAAGACAGTTACGATCCCAACAGAACTCTTGCGTTATTCATTGGTCAAAGGCAATCACCCAATATAAATTTGGTGGAACGAACCCATAACCTCTCTGAGCTAGCCGCCCGTTAACGTAGCGAGCGAGAATACAAATATTAGCGGCAACAAATTTCGCCGCAGTTTGTCTGAACATTTTCCCGCGCTTTTCAGAATTTTTCCGCGCTTTTCCAATTTTCCCGCGCTTTTCATAATTTTTGCGCGCATTTCGGCGTCAGGCTTATATATTCGTTGCTCTTAGTTATCGGTCAGTGTATCATTCTCCGTTAGCATTTGCTTAGGAAGAGCCGCTAGCCGCGTACACATACACACGCACACCGACACCGCTGTCGCTATTTCGAGTTATCTTTGGTCGTTTTCGTTCTCGATCGCTGCAGCAATTTTTGGTCTGCCTAAACGTTTGTTAGCTCCCCTACAGTGCGTGCGTGCGGCATATACTGTCGCTGGGTTTACATAAAAAATATAAAAACCCTATTTAGAGTTTTTTCGCTGTAATTCTCTCGGCACTTAGCTCCCTTACACCGTGTGCGATCGGTATATTACTCGTTGATTTTTTATTATATTATTTAACAAATAAACACCAACGAGATGTTTGCATGAAAAGTATTAACCGAACTTATCGCCACTTAAAAGAAGCTAAATTATCAGTAAATCCGGTCGAGCTTGAGTGTCGATTAGAGATTCTAAATACGCACATTGAAAATGCTTCCCTTTTGCAAAGCCAAATAGAAGTAAAAGATACAAAAGACGTATACCGCGAAGAGTTGGGAGAGAGGGCCGTAATGACAAAGTCATTGCTGATTTAAATTTTAAACAAGTGCAAACAAAATATTATCGAGAAATCCGCTCCGCCAGCAAATCGCCCGCCTCAATGCCGTCTACCGAGCGTTGCTCTCCCAACTTTTAGCGGAAAACACTCCGAATTTAAAAATTTTATAAGCCTTTTCGAAACTTTCGTTGACAAAGATGACACTTTACACAATATTGAAAACGATACGATAATGATTGTCTTATTTTTTTTGATAACATATCGACACTTTTTAATTTGCAAAAAATTTCCCAGCCTTCAGCTACAGCCTTGAGAACCCTCATCGACACGATCACAGCCTTGTATGATTCCTTGCTGTCCATTGGGGATGATAGACGCATTACTAATGCTATTTTAATACATCTGGTAATGAGCAAGGTCGATGCAGAAACTAAAAGAAAATGGGAAGAACAGTTAGATTATACTTCGCTTCCACTTTGGAGCGAATGTGAGGCGGCCCTCAACAGGCGATACCAACACATGGTAGCAGAAGAGGCTTCCAAGCCCAAAACTGTTCAAAAGACCCAATTTAACCCTAAGAAGAATGGAAATAGGAGTTTTTCGTTTGTCGCTGCCAGGAACGACTCTGTATTGCAACTCAGCTGAACATCAGATTGGAAACTGCGCTTCCTTCGCAGCCCTAACAGTTCAGCAAAGATTCGATTTCGCTAAAAGAGCACCCTTATGCATTAACTGCTTAAGAAAGGGTCACACGGTCAAAAAATGCAATCCGAACAGATGTAGAGTGTGCAATTCCTCACATCACACTTTGCTACACATATATTCCCCAAACACAAATCTTGCGTTGCCACCCCCTTCTCAGCGCACGCTCATGCAGGAGTCTCCATCCACGTCGCATGTTTTGCATGCGAATGCATCGGATCGATTCATTCTTGCAACTGCTGTTGTGAGCGTCCAAACAAAAAGCGGCGAGTTTGTATCAGCTCGAGCGTTGCTCGACTCTGGTTCACAAATAAACTTTGTAACCGACGAGCTCGCTCAGAGGCTCAAATTAACAAGAGAGGACGTGTGCATGAGCTTGCGAGGCATTGGTGGAACTAATGCCCAAGCCACAAAAAAAATACACACGATTGTGAAGTCGCGAGTAGGGAACAGCCAATTGTCGTCCGATTTTTTGATTATGAAAAATATTTCTGGTTATCGTCCGGATCAAGCGGTGAACACCAGCGGGTGGAGGGTGCCTGAAAATATTCAGTTGGCAGATCCATTCTTCTTCAAGCCCCAAAAATTAGATATGCTTATCGGCGCTAAAACATTCTTTGAACTTTTATCTATTGGCCAGATAAAGCAGGGGCCTGAATTCCCCATCCTACAAAAGACAGTTTTCGGCTGGATAGTGTCAGGCAGATGTGCCTCTGAAAGTAATAAAAACGCTGAAAAAATGGTACATCTCAGCTGCCAGGAGGAAGCGTTGGAGTCAATTGACACAACCCTGCAGAAATTTTGGTCTGTGGAGGACTTGCCGCCCAAGGCTAAAGTCCATACTCCTGAGCAACAACTCTGTCAACAACACTTTGAGAAAAATACTCAAAGATTGTCATCCGGTAGATTTTAGGTTCGTTTACCGTTTAAATCTGACCCAAATACTCTTGGTTCGTCATACGAAGTTGCGAAACGTAGATTTTTGTCGCTAGAAAGGAAATTGTCAAAGGACCCTTCGCTGAAGAAGATGTTTATTGAATTCATGGAGGAATATGTTTCACTGGGACACTGGTGGAGGACAACCAATGACAAAATTCCGAAACTCCGCACTATTTCATTCCGCATTAATGCGTTTTACGGCCACAAAGTAGCGTTGAATGACATCTTGATGGTAGGCCCAACTATTCAAGAGGAGCTGTACTCGACTCTGCTTCGGTTTAGATTGCATAAGTTTGCCCTTGCGGCCGACGTCAAAAAGATGTATCGCCAAGTGATGGTGGACGAAGCTGATCGTAACTTCCAGCTCGTAGTATGGAGACGAGATCCTTCTGAGTCCCTGAAAATCTTTAAGTTGAACACCGTTACATATGGAGCTTCGCCAGCACCCTTTTTGGCGATTCGGTGCTTAATGCGGCTAGGAGAGATGGCGCAAACAACTCATCCAAACGCCGCAAAGGTTATTCAGAATGATTTTTATGTTGACGATTTGTTGACTGGCGCCGGATGCGTTGAGGACCTGCAAAGCCTTCGAGACGAAGTTTCTCAGGTCTTGCAAGAGGCAGGCTTTGAATTGGCAAGTGGTTTTCAAACTGCCAAGAGTTATCCGCATCTGATATCGCCTTGTGAAGCCACTTATGGCAACCTCAGACGTAACCAAGACCCTTGG